ATCTGCATGGTTTCCTTGGAGTTTTTTCCTTATCAATACTTTACAACTGTCTTGCTGTGATTTTGGTTTGTATGGCTTTGTATGACATTACCTCCTTATGCTCTACCACAACCTTTCCCTACTTTACTCTGTTCTTACCGCAGAAAACTCTTTATCAGGGTGGCAACAGCTAAACATTGCACAACCCCACCTGACTGCTTTGCCCAGTTCAGCTCTGCCATTGGGTTGTGCCCAGATGTTTTGCGTTAGTGGGCAGTAATGGGATTGATGCAGAACGCCTGGTCCCAGCTGTGCTTTGACCTCTTGATATTGGCAAGTTCTCATCCGAACTGTGAGAGCCTTAGCTGTTCCATTAATATTAATGCCTTGATTCAGGGATTAGTGTTTCTGCGGATGGTAGTTGTCAGGGGGGGAAATGATCGATAGAGATAATACTCCAAATTTTTGCAAACTTTTTCTATTCCTTTAAATCCGAGCTTGTTCAGAGGGGTTATTGGAATTTTACATAGTGCGGCAACATTTCACTAGCTTTTCTTCTTCCAAGTATCTGTTACAAATGTGAAAAAGCATTGTTCTCCATGCCCCAGAAGGGGAAGGACTAGAACACAGCCAATGGCTTTGTTTATCCAGGAAACTCAATTTTGATCACTTATCTGGTGGCTCTTCGGACCACTGCACTGTAGGCTTCTTCGTCTGATGAGCTGAACGTGACACTGGTCACTGTGTTATGGCCATCACTGACAGCCTTACTTACTTTATTGTCCCAGATGGGAAATGTGCTTTGCAGGCAGGTAAAGATGTAACACATTGCACAGTACATTTATCACAACATGATTAACAAACAAGAGACACACATCTATGATGAGAAAGAAAATAAATATATAAATAAAGTAAAATACAATCAGTTGTCCAAATAGAGCAGGTTAATAGTCTTGGGAATAAAAGATGACTCTTGAGTCTAGGCAGTCTTCTGCACTTCCTCACTCTCTCCTGTGTGCGGTTGTTGGGTTTGTAGCTATGAAAAACACAAAACTACCTGTCCCAAATCGGGTCTGCTGGCAAAAAAGTGGGGATTAGGCATTTTTAATGAAATAAAGTGGGTTGAGTGAGTTTTTACCGTTATGTGGGGAAAACTGGAACCTGCAATACAGAGTTCATAGAATATCCATTTGTGTTCTGAATGGATCTACACGAAATGTTTTTAGAGCTGTGGTAGAATTTTTGCAGTCAAATCTGTTGATTCTTCAGCTCTTTGAATTGGGTCCTTTTTGAGGAAGAAGGGGGCAGAATCGCTTAGCTTCAGTGTTTCAAGATCAGATCCGTTGCTTATACAGATCTAAATTAAGTTGGGCAGTGTTTCTGGGAGCACCGTCCTGCTTGAGTAAGCTGACATAGTCAAGAAGTAGACAAGCAGCTCCTGAAAGGAGTGACGCACCAGAATGGTCACAAAAAAGCGTGGACGTGATTCAGACGTCATGCCTAGCGCTCTGTTCCTGGTGGCCTTCCCCTCCTGTCTATGGTTTCCCCTGGCTGTCCCGTGTGTCCTGTGAGAAAATGTGGAAGGGCTGGAATTGTGGGGTGGGGGTGGTGGAGGGCAGTTTAGGAGTGAGTCGGGAACAGTGAGGTGATGATAAAATTGAGAGACATTCTGCCTTACAGTTATCCTGCCATCTACTTAGAAGAGACTGTGAAACCTCCCAGGTACATATGACTTTCTTTTTACTGCTTACTGTTTTGACTTAATTAGTTCACCCCTTGGGGAGGGAGATGGGGGGGGGGTGAGGTGACCTGGGTTCCCAGATTTTTGGTTTCCGAAATGTGATTTCGCTTAGCAAGCACATATGCATCCTTATGGAGGCTATGATATGACAGGCTATGATAATCAAGGATCTTCATTTTTATTTATATGTTTATATAGATAAAGTAGATCATGCTGGCTAATTGTAACAAAATTTTCATAGTAGCTTATTTTTACACGCTTTTATAAGATTGTGTTTTTGGCTGTTGTGTATATGCTTTTTAGTGTTTACTTAAAAAAAACATTATAAATGAAGCATGGAGTACATAGCACATATACTGTAGGTAAAAACACGAATAGAACAGATATGTATTGAAGGTAGTGTACTGCAGAAATTGTGCTGTACAGTACATGGCTTCAGCTTGTTTAATGTAAATTGTAATATTACACTTAGTAAAGTATGATATTGATTGGCAAGTAATACGTGATCTACTGCATACTGTTTTCTAACAAATACAGACTGAGTTTGTAAGTCAGACCTCAGAAGGAAGCTGGTAACTGCAGTCAAGCTGAGGGTGTTGCAGTGTGAGTGAGCTTTGCGTTTTACCATCAGTGAAATTAACCATCCGTGGAAATAAAGCCTCTTAAGCCAGTGCCGAGCAGTTTCCCATTTCCCACAGCTGCCAGTGAAATTGTGAAGTTTTTCAGGTTTTATTATTCAGTTCCGTCTATAGCTCATAGCTCAGGATGTCTGTGTGGTTCTTGCGTTTGTTACAAGAAAGGGATGCTTGAACTATGCGTTGTAATGTTGTAATGCTTCTCTCCTGTACTGGGCGATATCAGTGGCTTCTTACAGTGTTAAAGGCAGAGAGCCTGGCAGGAAGAAAATGCTGGAAACGTAAGAGTCTTAGCGATAAATCCCCTCTTTGGCTTATTTCCCTTTGTCCCCTCTAAGATATCACAGGAAAAGGGCTGCTAATTTTAGGGGTTTTCTGCCTCTCAAATGTTACAATATTCTCAAACTCTTTGGTGACCGGGAGGGCGAAGGCTTCACTCGTTGTGTCTGGAGGGGGCTTGGCTACGGGCCCTGTCCGTACCGGGCAGTGTGCCGTGCGGGCCCGTAGGCCTCGGGACTGACCGTCTCCTCCGGAACCCCGCAGAACCTGTTGCCCACGGCGACCCCGCAGGAGGCGCAGCAGTGGCTCCACAGGAACCGTTTCTCCCCTTTCTGCCGGCTCTTCACCAACTTCTCAGGTGAGACGGGGGGGCGGGAACCTTATAAACCGACAGGCCCCAGAGCAGACCTTTCTCACGTTACCTGATGAGCCGTTCCCCCCCCCCAACGAGGTGGTTGGCTGTGCGCGTTTATCTTTTGTCCTTTTTTTGTGTTTAATCGGGAGGAAAATTAGTTTTTTAATCCTGGGGTGTGAAGACAAAAAAAAATGAGAGAAGACCCTTTTTTTTTCCCCTGTGCTTAAGCAAACTAATTGCTTAACTGACCTTTGCAAAGTGGTGTAGTTGATGCACAGGTGCTCGTTTCATGGATGTGGTCTCAAGGCACAGATGGTACTTATTTTTCTATAATAATAAACTTTATTTTAGATAGCTCCTTTAAAAGTGGCTTCTCAAACACTTTATACGAAGAATAAAAAAAGCACACAAAGAGAGGAAACAGCAGGCTTTCTAGGAGTGGTTTTGGGTGTTAATGAGCTTGTCGGCGAGATCTCCACCTTGGAGAAGGCATCGTAATTAGGCTCATTGAAGAACCTCTTGCTATGTTGGTTTTGTTCTGTGGGTAGTTTGAAAGTAGCTCTGCTTCTGAGGTTGCCAACTGTGCCATGTGTTCTCTGTGTGCCAGGAGCAGACCTGCTGAAGCTGACGAGGGACGATGTCATTCAGATCTGCGGCCCAGCTGACGGCATCCGGCTCTTCAATGCGCTGAAAGGCCGGTGAGTGTCGCTCTTTCCCAGCCTGGCCCCCGTGCTGTCCATCCAGGCACGCTGCTGAAGAAACAGTGGGGCTGCATTCAGGGTGTTTCTCTGTGTTCAGGGTGCTGAGGCCCAGGCTCACGGTGTG